AAGGAAGGAAGGAAGGAAGGGGAAAGAAAGGAAAGAAAGGAAAAAGAAAGAAAGAAAGAGAGAAAGGAAAGAAAGAAAGAAAGAGAAAGAAAGAAAGAAAAGAAAAGAAAAGAAAAAGAAAGGGAGGGAGATAAGGAGGAAGGGAGGGAAGGAAGGAAGAAAGGTAGAAAGAGCAGAAAGAGTGAGTGAGCCTGTTTAATGAAGCATTGACACAGAACCCGGGCTATGATTATAGAATAGGACCATCATAGTAATTTTAAGAATTCTGGCCCTTAGAAGACAAAAATTAAATTTAATAAAAAATGTTAATGTGAAAATCACTTTTTAAAATTTGTTTGCAGTCTTTAGAATGTGAACTTTATTGGCTTAGATTTTACTAAGCTATATTTTGTAACAAATTGACACTTCATTTTTGCCTCAAATTAGTAGAAAAAACAATAGCCAAAGTTTGCTACAGAGAAATAAATGTTAATATTAGCTTTTTTTTTTTGAAAAGGTAGGGAACTTTAATTAGTAATACAAGTTAAGAAAATAACAAAGATGTGGGATAATGAAGAAAAATATGTGACAGTAATTTTTCATCCAAAAAAGGGTTACGTTCCTATTACCAAAAGCCAAAATATGTTTCACTGCAAATATACATAAAGATTAAGAATTGTTATTTTATGCCATTTCCCCAATAAGCCAACATATAACTTACATATAACTTACCAAGCCATAAATGTTTTTAAAAGAAATATGATTAAAATTATACAAAATGTTATAAAAATTTCAGAAAGAATGTTGATAGATATCTTGGTACATAGTAGGTTTAGTTGCATAGATATTAGGCAGAGGAACATATTTTATATCTTCTATAATAATAATTTTTTATTATCTCCTTGTGCACTAATATTTCCATATATCAAAATCATTTGAATAACCTTTCTAGTAAATCTCAACTCTGTAGATTGAAAAATTTTTTTAAACTTTATTTAACTTTAGTGGTGCATGTCCAGGTTTGTTATATAGGTAAACTTGTGTCCTGGGGATTTGATGTACAGATTATTTCACCACCAAGGTGTTAAGCCTGGTACCTATTAGTTATTTTTCCTGATCCTCTCCTTCCTCCCACCCTCCACTCTCCAAAAGTCCCTAGTGTCTGTTGTTCCATGTGTTATCATCATCTAGCTCCCACTTGTAAGTGACAACATGAATAATGGCCTCTGGCTCCATCCATGTCCCTGCATAGGACATGATCTCGTTATTTTTTATGACTGTGTAGTGTTCAATGGTATAATCAGTTTTCTTTTCTTTCTTTGTTTTATTTTGTTTTTTGTTTTTTTTTTCTGACAAGGTTTTGCTCATTGCCCTGACTGGAGTGCAATGGCATGATCTTGGCTCACCGCAACATTTGCCTCCCGCATTCAAGTGATTCTCCTGCCTCAGCCTTCTGAATAGCTGGGATTACAGGTATGCACCACCATGCCGGGAGTAATTTTGTATTTTTAGTAGAGATAGGGTTTCTCCATATTGGTCAGGCTGGTCTCAAACTCCTGACCTCAGGTGATCCACCCACATCAGCCTCCCAAAGTGCTGGAATTACAGACGAGAGCCACCGCACTTACTCAGTTTTCTTTATCCAGTCTACCACTGATAGGCATTTAGGTTGATTCTTTGCTATTGTGAACAGTGCTGCAAGGAACATATGTGTTCATGTATCTTTATGACAGAATGATTTATAGTCTTTTCGGAATATACCCAGTCACGGGATTGCTGGGTTGAATGGCAGTTCTGTTTTTAGGTCTTTGAGGAATTGCCGCATTGTTTTCCACAATGGTTGAACTAATTTACACTCCCACCAAGTGTATAAGCATTCTTTTTGGAAACAAATTTTGTCAGTATCTTCAATTCTTAACACCCATGTTTTAGAACGTGTTAAGCCTATTGTCCTTTAACCACTATTTGCATACAAATTGAAATGTAAAACAGACAAAAGAGAAAGAAAGAAGAAAGGAGGGAGGGAGGAAGGGAGAAGAGAGAGAGAGATGGAAAGAAAGATGAAAGAGAGAAAGAAGAAAGAAAGAAAAAAGAAGAACGAAAAAGAGAAAGAGATGAAAAAAGAAAGAAGGAAAAGAAGTGAGAAAGAAGAAAGAAAAAGGAAAGAGAGAGAGAAAGGAAAGAAAATAAAAGAGTAACTCACCTAAGAGGAAGGTCCGTTCCCACCAAGTCTCAGAAGCCTGCACTCGTGATTTTTAGGCACTTTCCCCTCCAGTTCCGTGGGATCCAGCACTTCGGTCGGAGAATAGAACCCACCTGCCGAATGGCTCGTCTGGCCAATGGACTTAAAGATACTGGAGTTTGTCTTCTCTCTCTAGACAGCAACTCACCCACTGCGGAGGCGGATTGGCTGCGCTGGGGACACCTGCCGGCGTGCTTATAGAAAAGAGTGATCGGGAAGGCGAGGCCGAGGGAGTGCGCCAAGCTTACCCAGCCACAGCGCTCCTCCTTGACGCCGCGAGCAGGACCCTGTCTCACTGGGCCCGCTGCCCACGGCGGTCCTTGCCTGCTTCTATTCTTCGGGTTTGCCCAGTCCGGAGTATTGGGAAGCGAAAGCGTCCTCGTTTCTGGTAGGTTGGGCTGGGCAGGGCTGGAGAGGGAGCGGGAAAGCGCAACTCAGGAGTGGGAGGAGCTGGGACGCTGGCGGCAGAGCCACTGAGGCAGCTTTCTCGAGGGGAACGGAGATGGAAGTCGGGGTGCAGGAATGTGGCTGTCCCCGCCTGTAAATCAGGGCTGCGGAGTAGGCGCTGAGGCAGCAGTCTGGGATCTCTACTGCAGCACACAGGAGGTGCTGAGGCTAGTTGCGTGAGTGGGGAGATTCAGGCACTTCCCAGGGGGCAGCATGCCCAGCAGATGGGATAGGCCCCTGCGACCAGGACAATCACGAAGAAGCGGAGGATGCATGAGGAGTAAACGCCCTTGTCATAAATCGATTCTCCAGATATTCATCAATATGTGCAGACGCTTACGGCAGTGATGAAGAAGATGATATGGGCCCTAGGAATATGCATCTCGAAGCTTGTAAGGTTGACCCAAAGGAGGGAGAGACAGACCTAGAGTCAGGTTTAGCAAATTTATTTCAACCTGCCAGGCAGCCTCACCACAGGTAGGGAAGGCAGCAGCCTGACTTACAGACTATAGGGGTTATATAGGGGGTTTGCAGGTAGCTGGGTGCTATTCTAAGAAAAACTGCATCTTGGTTCTCAGGGGCTGACATTCTGCTTAATCAGGTCAACATCCTGGGTTTGAGAGCCGGGTGTGACCCTGTGCTGGAACCTAGGCGCCCTGTTTACAAGTTTTGAGGCTGTTTTTGGTGAGAGGGGCTTAGCAAGGAGAACAGGAGGGGGTCTATGGGCTTGCCTTGATGTGACCCTAACATTCCAGTCTTTTGTTACATATATGAAAGGAAAGATAAAGGGGACATTGTTTGTTTTTAGCTGCTTAGTACTGAATGGGGATGTTTGTGAGGTGAGGCTGGCTTGTAAGTTGGTAGTCTTGGAACATCATCACATCTTATATCGTGCGGTGGGTAAAAGCCTATATTTGCTTCTGTAGAAACTGGATGAGGAGGTGTAAGAGGCAAGGGCCAAAGACTAAGAGGAGGAGGAGAGTTATGACAGGACCAAGGAGGGGAAGTAGCCAGAGGGCCCAAGAGCTGAGAGACCAAGCAGGCAGCGGCGCCAAGCGGAAGAATTGTTCTCTCTTATTTTCTGGATTTCTCTTTGAGCCTTTTGATAGCATTTTGTACTAACCTAGATTCACTGAGGTAGAAACAGCATCGTTTGTTTAAAAACAATTGTTTTAAACTGTTTATTTAAAAGGCACAGACTTCCTTTTTCAGCAGTGAGGAGGTCTTAGGCCTCTTTGGGTTTTTGTACGGCGGTTGCTGCTAAAGAGTCTAGTTGGTTTTGGAGGTGAGTGATAGAATTTGCTAGTTTTTTTTTTTTTTTTAGTGATTATTGGAAGCTTTGGGAGAGCAACTAGAAATATGATAATGAGGTTCTTAGGCTTCCTGCTTCTAACCTGACACTGGTTGTGACTCTAAGGGCTACTAATACGGGAATGAATTCTGTTTTGAGTGGGGGATGGGTGTGTAGTGTAGCAGGGACAGAGAGTTCTTGGTTTGGAGGGATAAGGTTAATGTTGCAGGTAAGGTAGACTAGGGTACAAGTACCCGTCTAGTTGGTAGGGAGACAGAAGTAGGTTGTGGATCTGCAGAGGAAGAAGATAAGATGCCTGCGGTATTAATGTAAACAGACAAGTGGATTGAGAATAGGTGTTGGAGTGTTTAGGTTCCTTGTTTGGAGGGACTTGGTCCAGCTTTAGCAACCTAGAGTGAGGAGGAGGAGACAGAGAGAGAGAGAGACCCCTTTGAGAGCTCCTGTCTGCGAAAGGGGTTTCCATGTTTAAGAGGCAGAAGGGGAGGTCCTGAGGATGGGCTGGGTAAAGAGGCCATTAGCTTCAGGGGAAGCTGAACAATTTACCTGGAGTGAAGTATGGGAAGAGGAATGGGAGATGGTTTGAGCTGAGCCACAGGCAGGGGGAGGGATAGTGCCTACATGTATGTGTCGACTGGAAGAGGTGATACATAAAGGGGCTTGGCCAAGTTTGGGGGTATGTAGGATTGTGGGACTTTGGATGGCAGGGTGAGGGAGTTTTTCATGCTCATAATCGGCAGTATACACGGAGAGAAGTTTGGTAGCTTTGTTAGCGAGGGCAGTGGATAGTTTTCAGTGAGGGTCAGGGCTCTGTCTACAAAATCAGAGCCTTTTGGGATGGTGTGTGAGAAGCGAATGGGAATATAGTCCTAGGGCTGAGAAACTGGGATAACTGAGTAGGCAGTAGAGGAAAGGAAAAAACAGGTCCAGCAACAGGAAGCAAGTGAAGAGTTGGTTGGAGTGCAGTAACAGAGAGAGAGATTGAGAGATTGTTTGAGTCTTGTCAAAGTGAGAAGGGACTTCGAGAGCGCAGAGGCGGGGCTGACTATTAAAAGAGTTAGGAACTTGAGGAAGAATTGGAGTCTGTATTTGGGGGAAGGAGTTGATAGGGGTTGTATGGGGAGATGGCCTCTTTTAGAGAGTTTGTGAGGTGGCTGATAGAGTCCTGTGGATACTCAAACTCTCCTTGTAGATGAGCAAGGAATAGGTGAGTTAAGACTTTTGTTGTTGTTGTTTTTCCTGTGGGAATGGGGAGAGAGGAGAGGACTTTTAATGTTTGGTATGCTATGGGGAAAGGCTGTTCCTCTTAGCTGATATTTAAGGATAGGAGGAGAGTGGAGGGTCGCTTGGGAGGAAGTGACAAAGCATACATGTCAGTCTGAGGTTATGTCTTTTAGTGTGGTAAATGGGGAGGGGCAGAGAAGTAAGGGCAAAGGAGAAGGTACAGGAGGCGTGCACTGACAGGGAAGGATTGGTGAAGAGATGTTAGTATTTTCTTAGTTTGTTCTTGAAGGAGGATGAGTTTTTGATTTTTGACTATCCAGTTTCCTTGGGAGGAGGCTTTTTGTTGTAACAATGAAGGTTTTTCGGTGGGGGAATACTGGGGTTGGATTGTGGGGGTGATGAGGAGGAGAGAGGCAAGGGCAGAGGAAAGGGAGGCTTCTTTTGCTGCCTGGTCGACTTTTCTGTTTTTTTCTTTTTTTTTCTTTTTTTGAGATTTCATCTGATCCTATTTGGTGTCCTCGGCAGTGTCCTCCCTGCTTTAGCTGGGAGGTGTGCAGCTTGGAGGAGTTGGCAAATAAGGGGACCTTTAGTGATGGGGGTTCCTGCCTACAATGGAAGGACAGCAAAGCATGATAAGGAAAGAATGTGAGAAAATGGTATTAGATCGGGAACAAGTAAGGGTTTTGGCGGCACATGGATGCCAGATAAGTTCATCAACCTCCACAACGAAGACCTGTGAGGGAGGAGTTGGTCCTTAAAATTCAAGTAAAGCCAAATAAGTGGCCTTGGTATTGATTAAAAATGAGATTGGCTTACCTGCTGCTAATAGAGTTACCCTAGGCTACCATACAATAATGGCAGATGGAGCCCAGGGCCCTGGACCTCCGGCCCCATCAGTCTTCAGCAGCTAAGCCATGGAACTGTGGGAGTGCAAGCGATTTTTTATCTTTTGTCTTGGTGAAGGGGTTACAAGTTGGAGGTACAGGCTTTTCTGTCTGCCTGTTGAGAGGACACTCAGACTTCCAGTGACCTGTCTGCTGGCAGATGGAGCAAGGGCTTTTTGGCGCCCATTGATTGGCACATGCCTAATGGCCTTCCTTGCCACACTTGAAACATGCCCTCGGAGGTGCACTGCTGTCAGGTCTTTTGTGCCCCTGGGTGCCACAGCTAGGCTTTTTAGGTTGGCAAATGGCTGCTGCTAGAAACTGGTATTTAGCACGATCTCTTTGGGCCTTGTCTGTTTTACTTTGTTTATCCTTGTTATTGAAGACCTTGAAGGCCAGATTAAGGATTATGATCCTTCAGTGGGGGATTATGATGTTGTCGAGAAGGAGGAAAGTTGGCGGTGTTAAAGGAAGAGGAGTCGTCAGCTGGGGCTGTGG